TGAATTTTTGACAAAATCAAAAAAAAAAAAAAATACATTTAATATGTATTTTATTGAGCATCAGTAATAATACAAAACATCCACAATGGGACAGCAGAATGACATAAAAACAATGCTCATAATTCCAATATTTTTCCTTAGGCATGACCCGATGAATTTAACGGGCTATAATTCTTCAATGCTGAATGAGATTGCAGCCAAATTTGGGAAGGTTGTAAATAAAGCCACATAATCGTAACATTTCATACAATTATACCAACAATAGCTCTACAATAATACTAAGTTACAGAGGACAGGACAAATACAAGTCAGAAGTCTGTACTGTTTATTTAAATTAAAGTTCAGTGTTGTAGATAGGTCGATGCTGTAGATACAGGGTAGAGTTCAGTACTGTAGATACAGGGCATAGGTCAATGCCATAAATACAGGGTAGAGGTTGATGCTGTAGATACAGGGCATAGATCAGTGCTGACTATTTGAGTAAGTAACAATAATGATAATCTTAATATTAACTTTAAGTTTTAGTGAAGTCTAATAATTTCAGCACATTTTCTAACATAATACAATGTCTAATATAATATAATATAATGTCTCACAAAATGTACGTACATGCAGCAGTAAAGTGCCGCAGCATATTAACTGCTGTCAGACTTAAGTGTTTTTGCTTGTGTTGCTTTGTCGTTAAGTAAAAATCATAGTATGATGTGCAAATACTGAGATGAGTTAATAATTATAAACAAACAGTAAGAGGGAACAGAGAAGAGAACATGTGGAAGTTTAGTTTTAGGATAACACGTTTATACACAAGCAGAGTAACAAGTGAAAGGTCAGAGGTCACAACACCCAGACTGAGAGTGAGCGATGAGAGTTTTTACCTTCTGTTTGTCTCTGCAGGTCGGGCTCAGGATTCAGCCCTGCAGACACTGTCGCCATCGTGTTCTGCTCCACACACAAGTCTCTTACTCTGGGTAGGCACACACACACACACACACACCTAAACCTTAATTTAACTTACATATGTATGTAGTAATAGATTACAATTGACACACATGAGTAAACAAGTAGTTTTTAAATTGTACTTGTGCTCTTTACGCACATTTTTGAACCAGTAATCCACTTTTTAATAAAGTGACATCTCACACAATGGTCTCACCTCTTCACATGTAGAGGGTTGCTAGGTTTTATGGAGTTTCTCAATGATACTACTTTAGGTGAATCTGAGTTTTTCCAGTTTAAGGTGTTTCATAATGTCTCTGATCATCATGATGTAAGTGGGAGTTTGTGCCTGTTTCCAGTTCAGAAGGATTTATCTGCGAGCTAAAAGAATCAGAGAACCTTGCCAAGGTGGAAGTGTTGCCAAGTACCCCAAGCACAACCAACACAGGTCACGTTCTGCCGCATGTCCCAGGATATCGGACAGAGATTTAAATATGGAGTTCCAAAAAGACCTTTCTTCTGACCACGATTCGATGATGACAGAGCAAAACCCAGAAGAGGTGTCATAGAATCAATAAAAGAGAAGAAGATGGATGTTTTATTAGAATCTCACAGATTAAATTTAGATTAAAGCAACGTATCAAAATATCTCCCTGTGTCTCCCTCCAGGTATCCCCATGTTAAAGATCGTCTTCGAGGGCTACGAGCATCTCTCTCTGATCTCAGTCCCTCTGCTGATCTACCATCCGGCTCAGATCCTGCTCGGCTCCGTACTCGTACCGACCATCCGCAGCTGGATGACCAGCCGTCAGAAGGTACACACACACACACACACACACACACACACACACACACAATACACACACATGACAAGCGAAAACTCGTCGCTCTGCTTCAAACCCTGAGGACTCCATCACTGATCTCAAACTCCCGTCTTCCTCCTGAGAGAGCCGGCTGCATTCCAACACTAACCTCGTCACCTTTTCTCCTCTCCTACAGTCTAGTCTGTTGTTGAGATAGGGCCGCATTCCAACACCACTGACCTGAGTGAGTAGACAACTGACTCCAAAACAGTGACTTAATAAACTGATCTAATTAAAAAGAAGCTGTTCATGTGGCCTTGTGACAGTGTGTCCAGCAGGCCCCTCTGGGTTTTCTACCCCTGTTCAACTGATATGATATTATATGATATGTTATATGATATGATTATTATTACTCCACTGGGTCTATTAGTGTCTTAAAAACGAGCTCTGAGTGCAACAGCTCCCTCTGCTGTCAGGAAAACAATCTACAAGAATCTCCTGCTGGACTCACTGCTGCAAACTCACCAGCTGCACTTCAGTAAAGCTGTACTGGTTTTAATGGTGGTGGGTGTGGTGATGATGAGGAGGAGAATTATGCCAGAAAATTACTGTAAAACACCAATCAAAGAACTAATTTACAAATACTTTGAGTTTAGTCAAACTTTTTTTTATTTCTGATGCACCCCAGAGAGGCTTTTTGAGGCTGATATGAATCATAAATAGATTGCTTAAATTAGATTTTAAAGGGTTGTGATTAAGATATATACTGAACTGGACCTTTTACAGATAAAAAAACATATATTTTTGACTTTTCTGTACTTCTACTGTAATGTTCTTTTTTACAGGAATAGTATCAGTGTTACTAATCAGCTGATATACACACAGATACAATTAGGGCTGAGACAGTTGGTCAATTAACAATTTTAATAAGCGATTAATCATTTATCATTTGCCATGCTAATCTGATAGTGAGGGTCTGCTTCTCTTCATACTGCTACCTTTGGTCAGCAGAAATCTGTCTTAACTAGTTTCTCTGGAACTTATCGATTAAGTTAGTCTGGGAAATAATAATAAAAATAGACACAAATACTCATCACAAATAATCAGAGGTGACATCTTCACGTCTGGCTTTGTTCAACCAGTCCGACACCCAAAGATATTGTGTTCACTATCGTCTATGACAAAGAAAAACGACTAACTTTGACATTTGAGAAGCTGGGACCAGGAAAGTCTTAGTCTATCTCTTACTCAAGTTACAGAACTGGTTTTCTCATTTGTGTGACCAACAGTCACCGTAGTTACTGAAGTGCAATAAAATGCTGTGACTGTTGAGATGTAACAATCCCTACTGCACTAAAAGATAAAAAGAATGATTTTTGTACTTTTGCCAGATGCACAAACAAGTGTAGACAGTAGTGACAGTACATGTTAAAGCCTCCATCCTACATGCTGTAAAGGATTCTTTCTCCAAATGATTTCTCTCATTCATCTGCTGGTGGCGGTGGTGGATTCTCTCAACAGACTCCATTTGGAAATTCTCTCTTTTCAGAACTGAATTTGAAACTGCCCCTCGCTTCTTTCTCTCTTCTGTTTATGTTCTATCTGAATCTCTTACTCTCTCACTCTCTCACACTTTCTGCTCCTCTCTCTCTTTCCATTCAGGCCGTGAAACTATCAACTCTTCAGCCCATCTGACGAAACTGAAACAAGTGTTTTGGTAGTTCCGCACAAGTGTGTGTGTGTGTTTGTGCTGTGACTGTGGACTACGGTGAAGGGATACAGCAGTACGTGCCTTATTACAACCAATCAACAGAGACCTCAGCCCGACGGAGGGGACGAAGCGTGCCAGTCACCTCGATATTCTCCGTTTCTACGACAACGAAAAATTCTCAAAAAATATTTCCATCATATATATATTCTTTTATATTTAAAAGAATCAAATGTACAAGTTTATTTTTATATGAAGTACCCAAAAATTTCTGCAAAAAGAGGACAGCTGTTATTCGTTTTTTAAGCACACGGAGAGTTTGTTTTGAAAAACAGCACCTCCCAGCAGGAACAGGAAGGATGGAGTTACTGGGACCATTCTTTTTTTATTTCTCTTGCTATTTTTTCACATTTTTCTAGTATCTTTCTTCTAGCTGTCACTGCCAGAAAGTGTGGACGTTTGTTACTTTTATGCTCTTGATAGAAACAAATGAATGCTGGATTATCAGACATTTAATATACAATTATAATAATGACAGCTGTTTGGATTTTTGACACTTTCTTAAAATAACATTTATGTTTGTTGTTAAGAAGCAGTCCAGTAGGGACACCTTTGAGGTGATGGTGTGGAGTTAACAAATGATCTATCCAAATGAAGGTATGATGGGAAGAATGTTTCATTTAACACAATATCATAATCTTTCCTTCTTTTATGTCTGTAGTCTTGCATTATTCACACATTTCCTTCATCTGTTTTTATATTTTTGTCTGGATCAACTTGGATTCAACTAGGACATTTACAACTTGCCCCAATAAGGAGGCAGGATTATGATCTGTGCTCTTATCAAGCAGGTGTTATCCAGCACAGTAAAAACATTTTTGAAATAGCTAAAATTGCACAAAATATGTTGAAAAAATTTACATTATACATCTATATGTAGATGATATCCTGTTTTACATCTATGGTAATGTTTGCCGACATCGTATTGATCACCAATTACCATCTCTCAATGCTCATAATGTTATGCTAATGATGTTTCGAAGGTATGTTTTCCATAATCACCATGCTAACATTTGCTAATTAGCACTAAACACAAAGTACAGCAGAAGCTGATGGTAATGTCGTTAGTTGTGAATGTATTTGGTTATAAAACAGTGTTGGATAAAAAGTCAGGGGATCCCCAAAGTTATTATAGTTCATTCTGAGGTGACATGTCTGTCCGAAATTCATGGCAATCCATCCAACAGTTGTTTAGACATTTCACTCAAAACTACAATAGCTTGTTTGCCCATGATGTAACTTTACTGCGTTCCTGTGGTGCGGGTGGTCAAAAACAAAACAAAAAAGCCTGTTGTAAATCGTTTTGTTCTCTAAACAATCAATCTTAGAAACCCCAAGGAACTTTTTATCAAGTACCAAAAGTTGTTGACACAAATTGAAAAATGATAGAATACTGCTTCCGAGTACTTCTGTGGACAGGGCAGCAGCAAATAGTAGTTTAAGTGTATGCTATATTTAGAATATTTTCATCACTTTAGCTTGCTGTCAGCCTTTTCTGATGGGGAACTGAAGCACTATATCAATATCCTCAAAGTCACCAGACTCGTTTAACAAAAACAGTAATGTTACCTCACATAACACAGGAATTGCTGGTCTAACAATACTTTGTTCTACAGTAACTAACATTAGTTCGGATCAAAATGAACTTGTTAAAACACAAAAGTCACACTATAACATTAACTCATGAATGCAGCTGTAGACCAGAAACTTTCATCTTCTGCAAGCTAAGATTGCTGTTTTTGTCAAATGAGTCTGGTGGCTTCAGTTCGCCATCAGAAAGGCCAAGTCTTTAAATTCAGCTGATAATCGCGTCCAACATAGGTGGTTTTCTGTTTTGCTCTTTCTCTCTAATATCGTTTAAACTAGCACCGAACAAACTTTACTCCATCTTATCCATTCTGTCTGTCACTTCCTGCCCTCCATCTGAATTTAACGTGTCATCAGTATCACGAAAATTGCAAACAAGCTATTGTCAAGCTCACAATGGCACAAGAGGAAATGACAGGGGACCACCAAAGTCTATAGGATTCATTCTCTGGGAACCATGAATGTCTATACAAAATTCCATCGAAAACATTGTAGTTGTTGAGATATTTGACTGGATGAGTTAGCAAAAATCACCAAAGTACTTGGGTTTCATCATCTGGGTACCATGAATGTCTGTACCAGTTGTCATGGTAATCCATCCAGTACTGTAGTTGTTGAGATATTTAAGACCAAAGTGGACTGACCAACAGACTGACATTGCCATTCATATAGCCACGCTACAAGCAAGGATAATAATTAAGGTCTTGAAACAGGGTCGTCGCCTGGTAATCAAACTGATTTAGTCAATGATTGAGGCATCTGGAACCCGATTTGTCCTATTCAGAGGGATGACAGTGAATGTATCATCCATGAAATACTTATTCTCAGTCCATTCATACAAGGCTCACAGTATTTTTAGCCAGCGTTGGTCGGTTTGTGATGTTTTATGGACCAGACTGTCAAACGCGTATATAACAAGGGCTTGTCTTTGCTCAGGGGCTGGTCTCACTACTTAGCCTTACATCCCTCTGATGTCAATTCTGATTTCCCCAGGACCTTTTTATGAAGATATTTGAGGGCCTCAGCTCTCTGAACAGCTGATTGTGTTTCTGTTGTAGTAGAGGACAGAATTAGTATGTTAACTTTACCATAATTTTTTCCTAAATCTGTCTACTTTATAGTAGCACCCTGACCAACCATGGGAAGCTGCTAGTCTAGTGATCAGGACATGATGCCTAACAGGCTTCCCATTAACATACACTGCCACTGGATTGTAACTGTGTGGGACATCCAACTATCGTAATATTAGCAATCCCTTTTTCCACAATCTTACCTTAAATCTGCAATAATTGAAGTTTTTTGGCCACTTGGGGGCTGTGGAAACAAGTTGTGCAAACAACAATGATATATTATTGCCTTTTAAATTAGAAATACTTAGTAAAACAGTTGTGTATTTACACATCCAGCAGTTGTAGAACAAAATTATCATTGATTTGTAGTCAGGTTTGTGTCCACCTGATGAATCTAAGTCCAATATTCACTCACTTTTAGCTCAGTTTTTTGTCTCTACCAGCTCCTGAGGGAAATATCTGACTCTTTAGCTGCTAAATGCTCCGTTATGTTTACCGGTTAGTTGTCTGTCTGCTGTTTGGTGCTGAACAGCAGCATCTTCAGGCCAAAAATTACGATGTGAACCAGAACAGTTAAGTTGTGGACCACAGCGAAAACAGTGAGCTGAAACTCACTACAAAGCTCCATAAAGCAGAAGGGAGCTGCATATTCAGGTGATGATTCTTTGTAGGTACATCACTACAAGTGACATCTTTCACATTGTCATTTGATATATTACTATAATGTAATGTTATAAATAAAAATATCTGTTATAGCTGCTTTAAACAGGTGTTTTATTTGCCTAACCTCAACCATACCTTAATCATAGTCTATTTGCCACAGCTACAGTCTTTCCTGTAGCTGCCAGGTGAAGAAAGAAATGAATTTAAAAACATTGGCCTTGGATGTTAAAAGACATTGTAATTGAACATAGTCTTGTTCAAGAATCTTCATTGTTATGTCTGACAATAGGGTCAGAGAAGCAAAAGTCTATTTCTTGAATAACCTTCACAGAAACCTTTTACCAGAATGTTTGTTGAGAATGTTACTGATTTGATCTACAGACACAAAGAATGACTTCAGCTCCATGTTTTCAGCCTGGTTTATGTATCTCTAACAAACAGGAGTCATCCACTGTTACTGTGGAGGTTATTAAAGCCTCTACAGCGCTAATGCCATTTCATTGGCTGTCCAGTAACAGTTGAGTTTATAGTCAACCTCTGTCTGTTTACAGTGTTATTGTTTTGCCAGTAGTATATTTTGGGAAGAAAGATGGTCAACTGGGTATGTATGGGTCTGCTCTGCTGCTTGTTTACATAAGAAGGTATAAGGAAATAAACCTACAAACTTTGAAAATTGTGTTTTTTTTCTGCTTCACACTGCGACTATACTCACCAAAGCTGTAAGCAATGAGAAAAATATATCCATGGCACACTTTTATCAGATTAAAAGTGTAAGGTCTGAGTATTTTTGCAAATTATACCAATATTATATACAGGCTACTGGATAGTGAAGTTTTTAATTATGATGTGATGTGCTATGTCTATGTTCTGTTAAATGATTCCCTATAATAATGATAATTATACACTCCTGCACAGTTAACACACTGTTGAAAACCAGATTTTATCCTGCAACTTATACAGTGCTTTGAATAGCTTTTTCTTATTTTCTCTTTAACTCGTGAACACCCCTGTATGCAATCAGTGTTCTCTCTATTATAATATGTAATAATATTATATTCATTCCTCCTCAGGGTGAGTTTAGATACAGTAAATATGTAGTAAAACCTTAAATTTGTTGTCTGGTCAAATTGGAGAAACACACTCTGGGAATTATTGGCAGCTCATTAATTTCACTGACCCAAAGTTTTTGGACAGATGGCTCTTCTGTCACATCATTTGGATGAAGTAATAATAAAATAAGACTGTGAAAGCCATGCCAAAAGACTCTAGAGGCCTTGTGCCGCTTCTAATGCACAACCCGACCCACGTGATTTGAAATTAGTAAGCAACCAGCACTGCCATCCATAAAACCTCATGCTGCAAGAGCTAAAATAAAGAAATACACATATACTGAATATAATACTGAAAATATGCTTTATTATTATGTGCATCCATATGATTTAACATCATTTACAAATAGATTAAGTAGTAATGTTTAATATTAGTTTCAGATTGACCTCGTATATAAACCTCAGTGGGACAAAATCCTAATTACAATATGCAAAGGTGTTAATTAGTTATACCTCAGCATGCAAATCCTGAATTTATACAAAAACATTACCTAATCATACAATTGTAGCTGGACTTACAGCCCCTGTGTCACTATCTTCATACTCCTACAGTGGTGTGTGTTTACACAGTTTTTATCTATCTTTCTGATGCATGCTAGATACAAACAAAGAATCCACCAAATGGTGTGTGTCATCCTAGCTTTGTAAATTTCCTACTATCTATCAGAAGGCAGATTGTAGTTTTAGTTCTCTAAACATGTTGGAAGCAGACATCTCTATTGGGAGAAATGTTTAGCCAAGAACATGTTGTTGATCACAAGTTGGTTATTTAAAAAAACAAGAGTAAAACTCCTGCTACCTCCTAATGGTCCCTAGAAGCTCCAATGAATAGTACCATGAAGTGGGTGGAAGAAAGTATGAGTTAATAACTTTTATATAGAGCATTGGTTGTGCAGCTGAAGGTGAAAAATGCTGTCCTAAAGTTGATATTTTGGCCTAAGGGTGGCCCTTTCACTGCAGTCTATCATTACTATTTGTGTACAAGTATAAAGTCTGGCCTAATGGTTAGCCTATATAGTCATAAATGTGATTTATCCTCTGAGGATCATGAATAGCCATAGCAGATTTCATGACAATCTGTCAAGTATTGAGATGCTTGTGAGGCACTAAAGAGTTGTTGGAGGAAACATTTTAATCTGAATGTCAGGTGGACTGACCAACATTGCCAAGAGATTAATGCTCTACCATCAGCTTGTGTCAATCTTAAAAGCTAATTGGAAAGGCATGCTAACTAGGTACCAATGATCAAAGTAACTTTGTATATTTGTATTTTTTAAGTTAGTAACAGAATGATACACCACATAATTTTCACCTCAGTTCAACCTAATATTACTAAGGGCACCTTAAACCTATATGATTATTTCTACCCTTACAGCAGCTCTGATTTCAAGAAATGTTATGGTGTCTTAAATTCTCTACAGCATGTAGGTAGCTTGTATTTCAGTCTCCAGGTGATGCCAGTATATCATACTCTGCCAGGAGCACAAAACTGTTCTCTCTGATTCTCCGGACTCTGACCAAATCTCCACACTCCTGGACATGGATCATCCCTCTCTCTCCTCTCCCATGCTCTCTCTCCCTGTGGTTCAGCGTCACTTCTGTCCGTTTGCCACAGGACTGACGGTACATGTACCTTACCCCGACCACAAGCACCATGCCAAAGCCAGCTGAGCAGCCCAGAAGCATGCCCAGCTCCCAGGCACTGTATCTGGGGATAATGTCTGGATGCTTCCCTTCCTTGTCTGAAGTTCCAGAGGGATTTGAGGGACGTTTGGATTTAGTATCAGTGTTGGGAGGATTTGGTTTCAACTCATGGCCAAAATTCAGTTTGAAGTTTGGGTCAAGGTTTGGATGGGGTTCAGGGTTTGGGTGAACCACTGTTCTTGGTGTTGGTACATTGAGGTTTAGCTCAGGATCAGATGACGCAATGTAGTTCTGAATTAGCAACCTCTGACCTAGGGTGAGTTGCTGAGAAGGCACAGGGGTGGCGGTGGATGTGAGAGGGTGATAGAGAGAGCGACGGGGTGCTGGAGAAGGTTCGGGGTGAGGGGAGCTAGACTGGTAGGACACCAAAGAAGAAAAGGTGGCAAATGAGTTGGAGGGAGATGAGGAACCCAGTGAGGAAGATGTTGAGGTAGAAGTAGAGATGGATGAGGAGGAGGGAGGAGGTGAAGGGGGAGAAGCAGCAGAAGAAATGGAAGAAGGTGATGAAGCAATGGCGATGGAAGAAGAAGGTGAGGGAAAGATTGAACTTGTGATAGACTGGGAGGAGGTAAATGGAGATGAGGAAGATGTAGATAAAGAAACTGAGGAAAAGGGAGTTGATGATGGATAGTGGTAGGAGTTCAAGGAGGGTAGGGATGAAGAGGTGAAGGAGGTTGGCGTAGGGGAGGGAGAGGAGGGTTGAACAGAGGGAAAATGAGGTGGAATGGAGATTGGGAAAGGAGAGGGGGGAGCAGAAAGAGCTGGAGCAGTTTTGGGTTGCTTCTTCATTGAAGAGGAAGATGAGAAAGAGGAATGTGTAAAAGAAGCGCCAGAGGGGTAAAGAGGAGTGGAAGAACTAGAGTGAACAAGGGAAGAGGCAGGCAAAGTATAGGTGGAAGAAAAGGATAAAGAATGTTTAGAGGAGTGGGTAGACCCTGACAAAGAAGATGGAGTGGCTGAGGGAATGGAGGCAGGGATTGGACTCTTGGTTTTGATCTTTCCTTTAAACTGAAGATCTTTGACCTCTTTACCCTCACTCAGAATGAAGGTTGGGTTAGAGCTTGACATGAAGGGCAGAGGACTGATGAACTGAGGAGTTACTGAGATTTGAGTTAGCTTCCACATAAAGGTGTGTGCCTGTGGTGCACCAGTTTGAGAATGTGGCTGGGACCACAATTGGGGGGAGGTACTTAAAGCCCTAGGTGGTTTGTCTGACTGTGACTGGTCTGTGTGAGAATAGCTAGCTTTAACTGCAGTTTGAGTTGCAATAGTTTGGTGCAGGGCTGGAAGAAAACTGTTCAAAGGGTGAGGCTGAGCAGTTGTTTTAAGCTGAGGGTGAGGTGAACTGGCTTGCCTTGGTGTAGTTTTAGATCCAGATGGACTCACAGGCTGGTAGTGGGATGAGACATAGAGGATTTTGTTTTGAAGCGGCTGGAGGGATAGAGGGGGGGACTGATTGAGGGATGAAGTTGTGTGGGACTGGAGAAAGGACTGAAGAGTAGGAGATTTGGATGGGAGAATGAGGTTTGGTAAAGAGGGCTTGGACTTGGAAAAGGGCGTAGACAAAGATTCCTGGGAGAAGGGAAAGGTCTGACTTGTAACTGTTTGACCCTGAAGAAAAGACTTGTGTGAAGATGTTTGGGAAAGGAGCAAAAGCCTGAGTAGAGGATTCTGGGCCTGGGGCAGAGACTGGTTACTCATTTCATCCTTGATTAGACTCATCTGTGACTTTGTTAAGCTTATCCTCCAGGGCTGTGATGAACTACTCTGGGTCTCCAACTTTACAGAACTAGTTTGGTCCTGGATTGGTCCTGTTGGATTTTGGGATGTGGGTCTTGGGGGATTTGTGCTGTGGAAGCTGTAATTGGTTGAAGGTGTAGCTGTGGTGGTGGTTTCAGGATTTATTGTTTTGTCTTTTGTTTCAGGAACAGTTGGCAGTTTTGGATCCTGGAAGTTTATCTGTTCCTCTTTTCTTTCCATCTCGGCATCGTTCAGAGGGTGGAGGGAAGCAAGGGAGAGAGGACTGATTGAGGTTTCCACTGTGATGTTGGGCAAAGGAGTGGTAGTAGCTTCAATCCCTTCAGCCTCAGCTAAGAGGTTAGAGGCTGTGAAAGGAAGGTGTTTGGACGACGAACGAGAGCTTTTGGGGTACTTGGTATGAGTTTCAGTACCTGCCTCTTCAGTCACACCTGAGAGGGATCCTGAAGTTGTACCAGTCTCACTGTCGTTAGTAGCATTTTGAGGAGACCCTGAAGTCATAGAGCTGTTCCTTTCATTCACCGCCTCATTTGTCAGGTGGTCAACTTCAAGGGATGCCAAAGTTGCAGAGAGGTTCATCTCCAAGACTGGATGAGTGACTTCTAATGGTGTTTTCTGAGATTTGTAGCTTTGAGTTCCACTGCTTGTGGTTGTAAGGGGCCCTAGGGTAGTAGCAGGACTGGCTGTCTTGTTTGTTTTTTTGAGAGCTGTGAGACAACAAGATAAGAGCAAGGTATTAGTTATAATGACGTGTGGATAGAGAAATAAAAAGATAGTCATCTTGCCTTGGCCTGGAGTTGCATCTTCTGACTTTCCATAAATAACCACAGACAACCTCTTCCTACTTACCAGAGGGGTATGGAGTATTTTTTATAGTATATATGATGCAATGTACATCCAGCATTACACAAATTGCGTACCCGGTAGAGCAGTAACTTCATCTTCCTGTAGTGCAAAACTTGAATTCCCTCCATCCACGCCTGTGATGTTACTCCCTCTCCAAGGACTACGGCTCCCATCACGGACCACTGTAGACTCGATCCCTGCCCAGTATACAAAGTAAGACTGCACCACTGTGATGCTGGAATGACAGACAAAGAAG